GGGTGGCCTGTGGGAGTCACACCCTCGTCTTCCCCTGCAGGTGGAGCCCCCTGAGCTGCCAGCCGACCTGCAACACTGGATCGCCTACAACGAGGCCAGCAGCCAGCTGCTCCGGGCCGAGAGTGGGCTCGGCAGTGTTGTAAAGGACCAGTGAGCGCCACAGCCTACCCGCCCTGCCCACCAGCCTTGACCTCGGGGCAGTTGCCCACCCTTCCCCGCCTGCCAGGAGGCAGAGAGCGCAGAACGGGCTGGCCGGGCTGGGCTGTCTCTGAGCTGGAGTGGGCTTGCGACCGGCCCAGCCCCCTTCGCACGCCCAGGGCCCTCCCCGCCCCCATTATTGATGCCCCTCTCCGCCCCATCCCACGCGGAGCACAGGGTGCGGGTGACAGGCACCCAGACCAGCTCCGATGCGCTCAGGATGATGACGATGGGAAAACTGGGAGGCCCAGGGCCCTTGGCATGCAGGCAGCGGGGTTGGGGGTGGCCCACCCAGCAGGTGCAGCCCCGTGTCCGTGTGTCTAGTTGGGGGAGAGTGCCTGGAGCAGGGGACTGGCTGGAGTTGCCCTGAGCACCGGAGCTTGGAGTCGGAGCTGCCGTGGGGGTGAGGCCCAAGCAGTCCTGGAGGCAGGGCTGGGGCTGGCCGGGGCCGGGGCCTGGGGGCCTGACTCGGGCACGGCAAGGAGCTGGGAAGGATCAGAGCAGCATTTCAAGGCAGATCCCTCTGGCTGCGAGTGAGGGAAGGGGAGGCCCAGGGCAGAGTCTGGCAGACCAGGGCTCAGGCAGGCTGACCCAAGGGCACTCAGGAGGGAGGCCTGGCCACCGGGCTCCTGGGATGGGGCAGGTCCTGCCGCAGAAGCTTGTGGCCCTGGAGCGTGTGCTGGGGCCAGTGCAGGCCAGATGGCGCAGGGGCTCCGGTGGAGGTGGTGAACTGCCGTAGCTGGGGGTGTCCTAGTTGGGGCCTGCTGCTGAGGACGGATTGGGGTGCGGGATTCTGCCTGGGTGCCCTCACCCATCTTCACCCTTCAGTGCCCATAGGACTGTGCTGTGTGACGCTGCAGGGGCGTCCTACCCTCTCTGGGCCTACAGCACCTCAGTTGTCTGCCCTCCTGCTGGGGCTGTCCCTGCCTGACATTCCGCCCCACTGTTGACTTTCTTCCTTCCTGTGCAGAGAGCTGCTTCCCTCAGTGGGCTGAGGCTGGAGAGGGTCTTCTTGGTTTTGCTTGAGTGGCTCTGTCCTGGCAGCTGCTCTTGGGGCTCCCTGATGGCGCCACCGGCCGAGGGCTCCCACTCCTGCCCAGTCTCCCGCCTTGCAGCTGGGGAAGGGAGGCCTGGAGAGAAGCAGGCACTGGCCCGGAGCCTCCAGGAGCGCTGAGGGCAAAGCAGGTGGGCCTTGTCCCTGGCTGGCTGGGGACAGAGGTCAGGGCTCTGGGTGTGGGATTACTGCTTTCCCGTGTGGGGGGCTGCCCAGGGCAGGGTGCCTGCTCACCTGTGCCCCTGCAGCTGCCCCCTCCGGCCCACGGGGCAGGCCAGAGCAGCTGGGGCCCAGGACTGCCCCCTTGCCACCCAGTCCACGACCCGCGGCCAGCTGGAGCCGGGAGCACAGCCACACCCCTCATGTGTCCCCACAGTGTCACCTGCCTCAGCCACTGTAGGGACCTGCAGTATTTCTGTTTTATTTAAAGAAAGCCCAAGAGTAAAGGGTCTTAAACGTGAGCTTGCTGGGGAGTCCTCATTTCCGAAGCCCTGGTCCCCCAGGGGTGTTTTCTGGCGTGGGGGTCTGTCGGGCTTGTTGGGTGAGCTTGGGGACCACGCTGGCAGGCTGGGATGCTGTCCACATTCCACAGAACATGGGGCCGAGGCCAGAAAGGAGCTGCCTCAAGCCCCTCCGGCCCTGGCCCTCTCATCTGCAGTTTTCCACAGGGACTTGGGAGGTCATGCCCCAGAGTCTGGGTCTGGGCCCCCAGGCTCCTGGGGTCACTGGGCAGGGTGTGGGTGCCAGGGGGGTCAGAGGTCAGTGGGCCTTGATGCGTGGGGGCCAGGGGGAGCATAGGGGCTGTTCCGCAGGCTGCTCCAAGAGGGCAGGGAGTGGGACCCCTGGGATGTAAGGCAGGTGAGTGATGGAGGTGTGGGTGGTGTCCGTGCTCTGACCACCTGCCCAGGAGGGCCCAGCACTGGGACCTGGGAAAGAAGGGCAGTTGGGAGCAGCTGGGTTCGCAAGAGGCATTCAGCGATGGGACAGTGGGGCTGGAGAGGCGGGGAGCAGGTCAGCGGTTTGCTGCCAGGGTGGTCGGCTGGGGCCTCGGCCCTGTCCACCTTTCCGGGCAGCCTGAGGGCCTTGGGGACTGATGGGCCATGCCTCATGCCTGTCCTGAGCCAGTGGCCACGTGGGGGGCAGTTGGGCACCCACACAGAATGTCTGTTTCTCTTTGTGTAAGAGGTGTTTGCACAGGTCCTGAGAGGTCGGGGGCAGGGGAGGTGGGGGGATCGCACTAGGTGTCTGGGCTGAGCGTTGCCGGACAGGACAAGTTCAGGGGTGGGGCCACAGACAGGAAGTGGTGCATGCAGATGACCCGAGCCTGGGCAGGTCCAGCCAGCGGTCCTAATTGGCTGGCTGGGGCCCTGGAGCAGGACGGGGGGCTGCGGAGACAGGATGAGGGTGCCTGGGCGTGGTCTGACCCACTTGGCACTGTGTGTGTGTGTGTGTATGTGTCAGAGAGAGAAGGGGTGTTCAGGGTGGTCAAGGGCATCTGGGTTGCATGTGGCTGCCCCAGGGGCATGGGGACTTCTGTGTCCACTTCAGGGAGATGCACCCCAGCTGGGCAGGGGGAGGGGAGGCTCTCGGTCCACATTTGGAGGACAGGCCAACAGCAGAGGGGAGGAGGGTCCTTGTTGACTAGAGGGACTGGGGCCAGGGCTGGGGCTTTGGAAGTGTATCTGCAGCCTGGCTCTTGGGGCGAGTCCCACTCTGATCCCGTGGAGTGGCCACTTTCGTTGAGAAATTCAAGTGACTGTTTCAGCCCGCACGCGGGCCGGGCACTGGTTCTCCTCTGGGCCATGCTCCCCACCTCCCACAGGCCGATGGCTACAGGGATGTCCGCGCCAGCACCCCGCAACCCTGTGTTGTCTGTGGGGTATCTGGCCCCCAGGTGACCCCCCCCGCCTGCCACCTGCCTGCAGGACACTCGGGGCGGGGGCAGGAGGGGCGCCGGAGCTCCTGGTGGGGCAGTGGTGGCGTTCCACAGCCTCACCTCTCCTTTTCTCGATTTTAACGTAATGGAAGAGGGACCCTTGCTCCTTTCCCTTGCCAGTGGGCAGGGGTGGGGGGTTGAGCAGCCCTTGGTAACCCTTGGTGGGCGTCTCCCCTCCCTTTGCAGTCCTCTGTGGCCCACCAGCTTCCCCATGACTGGAGGTGGGGCGTGGGCACGGCCTGGCACCAGCTCCCCGCCTCTAAGGCCCCGCGTGCCCGCAGGTGGTGTGAGCAGCTGCCGGGCACCCTCTGGCCACTCCTGAGGCCCCTCCACCGCGGCCTCCCCATCTCCCGTGGCGGGTGCGGGCCGGTGGTCATTTCCAGGCCCACGCGCTGGGCAGAGGCTTGGTGGGCCCCTTTGGGCTCAGACCACCTCACTGAGCTCCCGGTGGAGGTGTCGGCAGACGCGTGACCTGGGTGCCCAGGGGAGGGGTCCGAGGGGCGCGTGCCGTCTGCTGGCCATGTCGGCGCAGGGCGGAGGCCCCACAGGTGCCTGCTGCCACCCACCTGCTCACCTGCTCTGCACCCCTAAAGAGCCCAGAGGTACCCTCCCTGTTGCTCCTCTGGTGAGGCTGAGGTGGGAGTGACTCAGCCTCCCACTCCTTGGGGTGAGGGTCCCTCCAAGTGCAGGGTCCATTAGGTGCTGTCTAGAAGTCTGGCCGCAATGCAGAGCGTGGAAAGTACCCAGCCCAGAGGCCCGATGGCACGGTGGGCAGAGACACCCTGGGCTCACTCTGGCTCCCGCCTCTGCCTCCCTATAATGGGGCTGGAGCAAGTGACCACCAGGGACAGCTGGGAGCCACGTGAGGGAGGGGCAGGAGCCTGAGACAGGCCCTCCTGGGACCTAAGGACCCTGGGCTCCTGGGGGGTGGTCAGCGTCCGAGGACGCTCTGCTGCCCACCCTTGGGCAGACAGGCCAGGCCACTGGGAGTGCTGCGGGCGCAACACGGCCTGGACCCCCGAGCTGGCCCTGGGGGCCAGGGGTGAGCTGGCATGGCCTTCGTGTTCCGTGCACACAGCCTCCTCTAATCTCAGCTGTCCCCAGGGCCCAGGGTGTAGTAGGCCTGTTGTCTCAGGAGGTGACTGAGGCCCGTGGAGATGTATGGGTGGCAGCAGGCCCAGGTGTGCCCCACTCCTACACACTCGGGAAGACCCAGCCTGGGTAGGCAGGCTGAGCTCCACACGCCCGCTTCCCCAGCCTCTCCTTGCTGCTGCGGCAGCCCTGGGCTGGACAGGCATACTCGCCCGTGGAGAAAACTGGATTGCAACCCCAGTTTCCTCCCCATCCTGGGGGTGGGGGGCGGGGGAGACGCCTACAGGGTCTCAGGGACTTCTGGGAGCGGGGTCAGATTTTCCTTGGGCTGAGGAATGGGTCCTGCCTGGTCTAACATGCAGGAAGGCTGGCCCAGGATGCATTTCTCCCCCTAAGCCTCTGTTTTCCCATCTGTGAAATGGGTCAAAATGGCCCTGGGTGAGAATGAGGCTCAGGGGCCAGAACACGCGTGGTTCCAAGCCCAGTTGCCTGAAGGCGGTCTGTGGGCTCTCAGCGTCCAGAAGAAAAGAGGTCGTCTCCAGCCTCACCTTATTTTCTACAAGTTTGGTGGAGGAGGAGGGCAGAGAGTGCCCTGAAACTGTTCTTTCCCCTAGGATCCCACGAGTAGCCTGAGGCCCAGTGAGCTTGGGCCATGGAGGCGTGCCAGCAGCGCTGACCGCCAGCAGTGCCAGGCTCTTCAGGAAAGGAGGTGACCCAGGATTATGGCCCCCGAGGGGCCAGGGCCCCAGCACTGAGCCTGGCAACGCCCATAGAATTACAGAGGTCATGGGAGCAGCAGTAGCTGGGGTGGGCAGCCCCAATGCTGTCTGGGTCAGCGGCCTCGCAGGAGCTGGAGCAGGAACTGGTCACCCCGGGGCTGTGGTTGAAGCGGAACTCCGCCGGGGAGGGCAGGCATCAGGGCCTGCGCCCCGCCGCCCAGCGCCTTCTTCAGCCGCCCCAGCCTCCGTGCACTTGACCTTGCCCTTCCTGCCTCTTCCCGTGCTCCCCTGAGACCCCTAAGCTAACGGCTGCCCTGGGAAGTTACCCTGTTGGGGTCTGCAGTGTGGCCCCAAGGCTGGTGCAGCCCCACAGAGCCAGCCTGCGGGCCCCCAGCCTCACCTGACTCCAGCATCAGCTGCGAGGTCTCGCACGCTGTGTCCTCCGGCTTGCAGTTAGTAATGGTCTCGCCCAGAGGAAGGGCCGTGGGCTGCTCACAGGTGAAGCACCTTAAGGCCTCACCTGGGAGAGGGATGGGGACAGACCCTCATCACCCGGCCTTGAGACCCATCCTGGACACAGGAGGAGGGGCTGGAGGAGAGGCCAGGGATGGTGCAGGCCCTGGGCCATTCCCCACGGATCCACCTGGAGCATCTTCTGTCCCTCCCTGGGCGAGTGGCTTGCCCTACTGAGCCCCTTCCGGCCCAGGCCACCAGCGCAGACCTGAGCACCGCGAGCCTCTACCCGAGCTTTGGTTTGCCTTCCTGGAGAGCGGGCTGTGACCCCTGTCCTGGGTGAAGCCAGGCTCAGGACCAGGAGGCTCGTTTAGGGTGAGGGAAGGCGAGCCCAGTGGGGCACCTAAGGAAGCCTTCCCCTCAAAGCCCCCCGATGGCCCCCTCCCCACTGAGGAGGTGGGCCAAGCGAGAACCAGAGACAGGGCCCCTCGCCAGCCAGCCGCCCTCGCCCAAGCTCACGGTCGAGACTGAGGTGAGCAGCGGCGGCAGCAGGGCCCTGGGAAAGGCCGTTCCTTGTGCTCAGGAGCCGGGAGGGCGGCAGCCTGTGCCGGCCTCCGGTTGGGATTTATAGCCAGCCCTTGGGCCCCCATCTGGGTGGCACAGGGCAGAACTGGGAGGCAGCTGGCAGGAGGATGCGTGGCCGCCAATGCACTCACAGGCCCTGAGGGGGCAGCACCCCGCAGCGCTGGAGCCTGCCCTGGCCCCTCCCTGCAGCCTGGCCCGTTCCTGCCACATGGGAACTGTAGGCCTGTTTGCCAGGCTCTGGCCTGGACTGATGTCCATCTCAAACCCAACCAGGCCAAGGTCCATCTCCTGCACTCCCAGATGTCCTCTACCTGGTGTATACCTGACCCAGGGACCCACCAGAGCAGAGGCCCGGAGGTGGGGTGTCAGGCCAGGTGCAGAGGAGGTGAATGCCTGGTGAGGGGCAACCAGGCCCCCTTTGGGCTGACGAGGGTGGTGCCCGGACCAGCCGCCTCATCACTGCCGACCCCTTCCCCACGAATGGCCTTTAGACCAAGCCTGAGCCTCTTGGCTCTAGACCCCAGACAAGAGGGCTCTGCCCACACCCCCAGGCTCCTGGATCTTCTCCACTGCCCACCTCCACCGCACACTTTCCCATTTCCGTGCCTTTGCCTGTGCTCTGCTTCTCACTGAGCGGCCTCTCTGGTCTCCCATCGTAGCCTCCAATCTCCCCTGTGCTATAAGACCCAGTCCAGGTGCTTCTCACCCAGAGTCCTTTCTGGTATCCCAGCCTCTCTGGTTTCTCTGTCCTCTGAGGGCTCAGTGAGTGCTTGTGTGGATGGATGGATGGGTGGGTGGGTGAGTGGATGGATAGACGGAAGGATGCATGGATGGATGGTTGAAAAGACAGATGGGTGGATAGATGACGTTTGAGAGAGCGGACGGGTGGAGGGAGGAATGAGTGGATGGGCGCTGCATGAGTGGGGGGCTGGCTGGTGGGAAAGGGGGGTGGATGAAAGAACAAGTGGATGGGAAGGCGGTGGATGAAATGGTGTGTGCTGTGTGGACGGTGGAGGGGGGCCGGCTGCAGGGTAGGAAGTTACCCCAGTCTCAGGGCAGAATGGCATGCTGGGAGGAGCTCAGGGCTGGCACCCGGGAGGCCTGGGTCTGGGCTTTGCTGCCGTCTCCACGTGTGGCCTTGGGGTGACCCTCTCATCCCTCTGGACTGGATTTCTGCCTGTATGATGGGACTAGGGATCCTGGGCAGTTGTGAGGGCAGAAGTGACCTGGCCACGTGGACTGAGAGATGGTTGCAAGGAAACAGAGCGGGGGCGTTGTTTGCAAAGGGAGAGACTGTGGTTAATGCAAGTCAGACCACGAAGTCACACATGGCAGGTGTGGCACAGACAGCAGCAGGGCGGCCCTCCCCTGGGGCTTGGTCTGCACTAAGGACTTGGTGAGAGGAGCCGGGGCGGGGCTGGTCTGAAGCCTCGTAGACTGAGTGGGTCCCCGCCCCCCAATCTCCCGTGCAACCAGGTCTGCTTTTGAGCCACCCTGACCCCCTTCTTATTTTTGCAGTACGCGGGCCTCTCACTGTTGTGGCCTCTCCCGTTGCGGAGCACAGGCTCCGGACGCGCAGGCTCAGCAGCCATGGCTCACGGGCCCAGCCGCTCCGTGGCATGTGGGATCTTCCCGGACCGGGGCACGAACCCGTGTCCCCTGCACCGGCAGGCGGACTGTCAACCACTGTGTCCCCAGGGAAGCCCCCTGACCCCCTTCTTTTATGTGTAGACCAGGCAGAGGATCATCGACCCAGAGGGCAGCTGTGAAGCTGCCCGTGAAGGTCACAGCGGAGGTGGACGTGAAGCAGCGGTGGGGTGGGCGTGCCGAGAAGCAGGCTGGTCTGGGCTCCAGATCGGGAGACCCTGTGTGCTGTCGGGGAGGCTGCCTGGAAAGGGCCTGTGCCCGGCTTTGAAGGAGCCAGAAGACCTCGGAGGTGGCGGCTGGCAGGGAGGGTGCTGCCGGGGCAGCAGCGGGGTAGTGGCCAGGAAGGGCACGCAGCCTTCCCGTGTTTGCCTGTAGGGCTGCGTGTGTGTGTGTGTGTGTGTGTTTACTGAGTCTCAATCCAGGCTTTAAGGCCAAGTGACCCTCCGTTGTCCTCATTTTTGTGAGAGGCACGAGAAGAGCCAGGTGAGAGGTGTGATGCATGACTGAGGGCAGTGTCTCCCCCTTGACAAGCTCAGCGCTCAGAGTCACAGCCCCAGATGTGGCATCCAAGACAGCCTTTGAAGTTCCTGGCCTCCCAGCCCAAGGGTCCGCCCAAGGCAGGGGGTCTGCGGGGGTCCTGCCCGCTGGGAGCTGGCTCAGATGGCAAGTCTTGACCACAGGAAGCAGATGTGTGGAGTTGCCAGGGTCCGAGGAACAGGGGGCCTTCTAGGCCACCACCGGTCTCTTCTCCCACAGGCCTGGGCGCCCTCGGAGGCACCTGGCCATGAGTCCTGGCTGCTGCCTTCCTTCCTCCCTTAAAGGGGGTGATGGCAGTGAGGCTCTCTGGACCCAGGGTTGCAGGCTGGGGGCACCCTGCGGTGCAGAAGGAAGGCTACACAGCCCCATCTCAACTTGGCTGGAGACGCTGGCTGCTGGGCGCCCCTCCCAGATCCCAGGGGCCCACTCACCCAGGGGCCTAGGAGAAGCTTCTGGAGCGGGGCAGGGCAGGGTGGTGGGGCAGAGAGGGGGCGTCCCAGGGTACCTAGGGCCCATCTCCTGCCCTCCCCTGGGTCCATCCTTCCTCAAGTTCCCTGGGCCCGTGCTGAGTGCTTATAGGACCATGTATGCGTGTGTGTGTGTGTGTCTCACCACCCCCGTCTCAGTCCCTCCGTGACCCAGCCCCTCCTCACGTCCACCACCGTTGCACAGCACTCGTGGTGATTTGCTCCAGATGCCCCACCGGATGAGGCCGCTCCTCCCCCAGCAACTCCCCAGCCAGGCTGAAGATGGTTCCCATTGCAGGAAGGACAGGGAGGAATGAGGGAGGGAGGGAGGCCCGGCTGCGTGGACCCAAAGCCTTTTCTGGAATTGACAAAGGTGGTGGCTGCTCTCTGCCCACAGGCTGCCTGGCCTGGAGGCAGCTCTGACCCTGGGACCCCGGCCCCGCCCTACCCGGCCCCACTGCCCCATCTCCAGGGAGCAGAGCGTGGTCTTGCACATGGTTCTGTGGGCATTGCAGGTCGTGGTGGTGACTCAGCTGGGCACGCTGGTGGGCTCAGGACAGGTGTAGCATTGCAAGGCCAACACTGGGGAAGGAGTGGAGAGGGACAGGTCAGGCAGGCCCCGGACCTCCCAAGCCCTCTGACCAGAAGGCCCAGGTTTGAGGGGGACAGCTCCACCCAGGGTCCAGTCGCCCACCGACCAAAACTCAGGGAAGATTCAAGAGCTTGGAGCTGGGGTGCCTGAGTCCCGAGGCCGATTATGCCCCTGGCCAGGCAGGGATGAAGCGGCTTTGGGAGCGCTGGGGAGGCGCAGGGAGACGGAGGCACTGGGGCCCCTGCAGTGAAGGGCCTGGCAGGGGCAGGTGGGTCATCCCTGACGTCCTGATCAGCAAAGTGCAGGACCCGAAGGGCTGCAGAGGCGATCAGGGGTCAGCAAGGAGGCGTGTGGCGTGCAGGCTGGGCCGGGCTGGGCCCGGTGTGCCCGCTGGTGGAAGCTTAACAAGGGAGGGGAGAAGAGCCACGGTGCAGTGAGAGCCAGGTCGGTCAGGGCGCAGGCTGGTGGGGTGGCGGGGGCGCTTAGGGCACACAGGTTACTGCTCTCCCCTCCAGCCCCAGTGCCCGACCCCTACCATGGCAGCCCGGGCCGCCCGTGTGCACAGTGAGGCCCCTCCACCCCCGCTGACTCTTGCTGTGTCTCTCGGGATGACCTCAGTTTTCCCCTCTGGGAAATGGGCAGAGCCATCTGGCTGGGGCCCACCCAACCCAGCTCCTTTTCTGGTTGGGTGTGGGCGCCCAAGGGCCCGGGATATCTCTCAGACCCCGAGTCTCCCAGTATGTCTGGTTTGCTTCCTTCTTCTCCACCTCCTGCTCCCCCAACCCGCAGGGCCTTCCTGGTGTCCGTAAGGTCCCTCCTGAGACCTGCCCCCGCACCGTGGCCCGGGAGCCAGGAGCATGATTCTGACCCTGCCCGCCCGCCCCAGCGGAAAGCCCTTCTCTGGCGCCCCGTGCTGATGAAGGGCTGTTCTCCAGTGGGCACCCAGGGCCTTGGCCATAAACCCCCCTGCCAGTCTCAGCCCTGGGAAGAGGCCCCTCCCCGCCACACCCCTCCTCCCCCTGGCCCAGGTCGCAGGCGCCCCATCTGCCCCAGAGCCCCTCCGTGCCTGGCCCACCCCACTCCCACCTCTCCCTTCGCACACCACATCTCCTCTGCCTCCCTGATTTCTTCCTCTCCCTCCGTCCCCCCAACCCCCCAGGCACTGCCCCCTCTGGCGGCCCCGCACCCCTCACCAAGATCACAGCCGGCAGCCAGCACCAGTGCCAGCAGTGCCAGCTGTGTCCCCTGAGTCTCGTCCCTGCAGCGCGCGGTCCCGGGCCTGCCCCGCAGGGATGGTGAATACCCACTGCAGCCACCAGACTGGTCAGCTGAGCAAATCAGGGGGCCTGGTTTTCCCGTGGGTGGCAGAGGTACGGAGACCCGCCACCCGCCCACTGGGGCCCACCCGCCTCCACCTGGACACCCGCTTCTCTGTGGTCCTCCGCCGTCCCTGCCTGCCCCTTCCTCATTCCTCCGCCTCCCGCAGTCTGGGCCCCTCCCCGCACCCTCATGACCCCCCTCTTAGGATTGGGGATTCCTCACCCGCCTCTGCAACTCCCTCGGTGGGGCTCTCTACCTTCTCCCCCGACCCCAACCCGAGACACCCCTGCACCTGAGGAAGACCCCCAGGCTACCTGGAAGGGAGCAGCGGAGGGTGAGGGCTCTCCTGCACCCTGACTCCTGCCTCTGTCAGGCACCTGTCTGGCCTGGGGCCCCCACTCCTTTCTCCAGGGTGGACTCCTGGTCTAGTGGTTCCGCGTTCGAATCCTCCCAGGGCGCCCCAGGCCCCAGCACCCAGCTTCTTTGAGATGGTCACGTGGGACGTAGTGATGGGGAGATGGCCGCCAGGACCACCAGCCAAAATGTGCCCACAGGCTTAAGGGGACAAAGACAGGGCAAGTGCTGGGCCAACAGGAAGGCCCTGGAGGGTGGGAGGGGAAGGGGCAGGGTCGCCTGGGAATGCTATCCTGGCATCCCCTGGAGGGGCAGGCACATCTGGATCAGGGCCCAGGGGGCTGCCCCTCAGGCAGGGCTCCCCTGGCCCAACTGCAGGTCACGAAGTTGACAGGCAGGCCCTTGCCCGGGCTCAGATGGGGGAGATGTGGATTTGGGCCCTAGATTCAAGCGGCTCCAGGCACTGCTCCCCCTCCCCGCCCCAGGGCGGCCTGCGCCTCAGCCTCGCCAGGTGTGCCCCACCTGTGACCCTGTCACCCCCTCCTCCAGGCCCCATGCTGCCGGAACACTCGCTGGGAGGGTAGGGGCGGGTTGTTGACAAGGCTGTGCGCAGATGCACTTGGGGCTCTGCTGCAGCCGCGTTAGACCCTCCATCTTCTACCAAAGGCTCCAGAGCTCACTCCCCTCCAGACTCCACTCCCACCCTTCCTGCACCAGGGATGCCCTCCCCACCCCTGCCTCTCGCTGTTGAAATTCTGTCTTGGGACCGCCCGCCTCACCCCGCCACCACCCCACAGCCTTTTCTAGCCTCCGGGCATCAGCTCCATTTGGCGTCTGGTCTTTGACCCCGAGACTGGGAGGGCCCATGTCCCCCTGGGCACTGGGTCGGGGGACACCTAGCCTTCCTTAACACCCAGAATGTGTCAGACACTCCGCCTGCTGGATCTTATTTTCCTCACTACAGCCAGCGATGGTACCCAGTGCTAATGGCTGGATGTTGGATGCAGGATGGGAGGCTCTAGCTGCGCGCTGACAGGCCGGTCATCCAGTGAGGCCTGGGCAAACGCCAAGACAGCAGCCGGGCCTGTCTGCCTACTCTTCACCAGGCTGCCAGGCTTGAGGCTGGGTGCAGCTAATCCTGGCGGTGCAGACGCCACCACGCACAGCCGAGCTTCCTCCTCGGGTTGAGCCCAATTCCTCTGCTGTGGCCGGCCCAGCCCACCGCCTTCCTGCCCTCAGACCCATGGCCCCCACCTGTTCTTTCCTTCCGTAACATACCTGGCCCTTGGGCATTAGCTCCTCCTAGAGTTTCTGCGTGACCCCTGCTGGGGAGACACAGGTTGCTACCTACTGAGGGTGAGGAGAAATGTGCCCCAGCCAGCGTCTGGGCTGCTCTGCTTAGGATGCCTCCCTGCTAAGAGGTCTACATCCTTCTCTCTGTTTCTCCAGGAGCCTCCGGATCAGAGATCAGCGTGCGGCCAGGCTCAGGGCTCAACGTGGGACCAGGCTCAGGGCTCAGCCTGTGACCAGGGTCCGGGCTCAGCTTGGGACCAGGGCCAGGGCTCCGCTGCTCCGTCTGCCTGGCATGGCCTCCTACCCAGCCTGCCTGTGGGGTTGTCTCCTCAGAGCAGGCTCTGTGGATCCGCAAGTAGGCCAAGGGGTTTCCCTCCCTGGGTTTCCACTTACCTGTGCCCCTCTTGTGTCCGGCAGAGCAGACCGAGCGCCCTTAAACCCATGTTTCTAAGATGTGAAGAACCTGCACAGACGGTGCGAAGGGCTCCTGGGGCTGCTGCCTGTTTCTTCTCTCTGCAGCACCCAGTGGGACGCCCTCATGGATTATTCCCTGTCCTAGTGGGCACTCAGGCTGCTCAGTCTGTGCTCAAAACACTGCTGTGAGCGTCCTCCACTGCAGAGTCTTCACGGCCTTTAGCCACGGGCAGTGGGACACACACACGGGGGCCAGATCAGTCCCTCGAGCACCGTGCCCTCCCTCACGGGCAGGGCCCCCCTGGTCCAGTGGTTAGAGCTTCTTACCCCACGTCCCTCCCATCCCAGGTGTTTGGGTGACCTCTCGGGAGCCTGCACTCAACAACACTCCAGGGACATCTTACAGCTTCCCAGACGGCACTTCCAGGAGGCTGCGCGATTCCCGCGAGGGCACACAGCGGGCCGTGTCCCTGCCGCCTTGGCGTCATTGTCCTGCCATTATTTTGCTCAAGGATTTAAAATGCTACTTCCTTCATTTTGCTCCTCTCTGATTGGAAGTGTGGTTGAATGTCTTTTTCTTTGAACGTGCTACTCACATCCTTGCCCCTTCCTGTGGATTTGTAGTTTTCTTTATATAGGAAAGGAATCCACCTCTTTTTCGCGTATAGCAAATGTTTCCCACCTTGTCTTCCTTTAGTTTTATGGCATTTTTCACACATTTCTTTTTAGATTTTTATGTCATCATGAATCTTTCTCAATCTGAATTTTGAGTCTTGCTTTTCCTAAAATGTTTTTTCTTTTTTTTCAACAGCTTTATTGGGTATATTTCATATACTAGGCAGTTCACCCATGTGAAATGTTTTTGGCATATTTAGAGATATGTGCAACCATCAGAGTCAGTTTTTGAATACTTTCATTGTCTCAAAAAGAAACCCCTACCCTTTGGCCGTCACCCCCAAACCCCCTGATGGGGGCCCCTGGGGGCGGAGGGTCAGCCCCCCACCTGGGTGGACCTGGTCCCCTCTCTCAGGCCCTCTTCTGGGCTGAGGCCAGTGGGTTCTCTCCCTGCCCTGCTCCTGACTTGCTGGACGCCTGGGTCAGGCTATGCCCCTCTGAGCCTGGCTCTCCCCACCTGGGCCAGGAGGGTGTGGCCAGCCCGCTCCGCACCCCCTACTCATGGGTGGCAATAGTGATACAGCGGCTGGAGCCTGCTGGGCATCTGGACTTGTGGGAGCATCCTCCAAAGCCCTTGCACTGGCGACACTGCAAGACTTGGACTGCAGCCACAGGCGTAGGGACAGACAGATGGATGCATAGACACAGGGACAGAGCTGAGGGCAACTCCTGCACAATGGCACCGTCTCTTTCCACTCAGCAACGTCTCAGTGGACTCTCAGCACCCGGCAGGGCTCCCATGATCCCCTGGCCATAGGCTGAGCCGGGGGAGGGAGAGGAGGCTGCCCAGCCCCCGTGACCCAGCCCTGGCGGTGACAAGGGCTTTCTCTGCATTGAGCTCAGATTGCCCAGTCTTCCTGTCCTCATCCATCCACCCTGATGACGCAGGGGCAGTTCTCGGGGGTCATTGGTGAGGCCTGGGCCCCGAGCCTCACAGTCTTTTCCCACAGGGCAGAGACTCCCCTTCCCCAGAGTCCCTGCGAGGGGAGACGGTGGGCAGATCCCAGAAGCAGTTGGGAAGGGGAGTGCCGGGCCTGGGCCAGGGCTGTCCAGATGCTTCCTCTGTCCGTCTCATTTAGGGCCATGGGGCTGGTGAGGCGGGTGTTGACCCAGATGGGAAAACAGGTGAGGGCTGGGGGAGTGGGCTGGTTGGGATTGGATTGGGAGGGCCCAGCTGGTCTTGTTCAAGCATCTGGATGGGTGGAGATGCCACCCCAACACAGGGGTCGGTGGGGAGATGACGAGGCCAGGTGTGGGCAGCCCCATTTGGGGGCATGTCCCCGAGGAGCCCTCGAGCAGGCCTCAGGGGCAGATGCAGCCAGCGACAGTGGATGTGGGCAAAGCCAGAGAAGACTGCAGAGATGGGAGTGGGAAAACTGCCTCCAGAATAAGGCCAGACCGGAAGGGGAGCGGCCTGGATCCTCCCTGGGGGAGAGGAAGGGGGAAGGCAGGAGAGGGCGGGCCCAGGAGCAGCCAGGGGGGTGGGGTCACTGCTGGACGGGGAAGGCCTGTGGGTGGGGGAAGGAGGGGTCAAGCCAGGGGCAGGGCGCTGAGCGGTCCGCAGCTCTTGCAGGGACGAGGACAGGGTGAGGGCTCAGCTGATGGGCCCGCAGGTCCGGGGAGGGGCTGGGCAGAGGGTAGGAGCTGGTGGATGGGAGGGCCAGTGCCTCAGGAAAGGGGGTGCGGGGGCAGGAAGTGGGCTCCCCCAAGGTGGGAGTCTCAGCTCAGTGGTGGCCGAGATCGGAGGGGCAGGCTTAGAGCAAGCGGGGAGAGCTGGAAAGGAGGTGGCCGTGACCCCTGGACTCACCGAGCTCCAGGTTCAAGGCAGCGGCCAGCAGGAGCCCAAGGAGCAGCCTCATGTCCTCCTGGGGGAGGCCTGGCTCCCAGGGCGCCCGGGCTGCCGTCTTATACCAGCTGCTGCTCTGTCCCGTCCCAGAGGCCAGTGCAGCCGAGGAACTGGACTGGGGCCTGGGCAGCACGGGGGTCCAGCCTGGTCCCCAGGCTCGATGGCTGTGTGGCCTCCGGAGAGCCTCATTTAATTCCATAAACCTCTTTCCTGGTCCTCAAATGATACGATTGGGGATCACGTAAGGTGGCGTGACACACGATGAACCCTCAGCACACAGCCTCTGGCCTCCCGGGTGAACAGGAATGAGGGTCTGGCTCAGGCCTGGGGGCCAGGCCCTGGCCCTAAACATGCAAACAAAGCTTAGGGTCCGCCGAAACCAGAAGCTTCACCAGCACGGCCCCCTGTGGTGAGTTAGCGGAGCAGCTGCCCTCCGAAGAGCCACAAAGCACGGTCCTCGGCTTTCCCGTCTGTCAAATGGGCCTCCCTCCAGAAGTGGTGGTTCTGCACTGCCTACCCCCTGGGAGTGACGAGGGACCCTGGTCATGATCGTGACTGTATCGCAGGGCCCAGGACCTGTGGGTGTTTGCCCAGTGCTGGGGGGCGGGGAGCAGAAAGGCCCTTGGTATTGAGAGGCCCCATGATGGGTGAGAGCCCAGAAGGACCCTCCTGAGAGCAGGAGCCAGACTTTGTGGGGGCGATGCGCCAGCCAAGCCATTCTGCCAAAACAGGAGGTGCACCGTGGGGGCAGTGTGGGTGGCTGTCTGAAGGGGGCCAGCCCTGCCGGCCCAGAGGCCGTTGTCTGCCCTGGCAGCCCGAGTGGCTTTTGTCCATCCCTCTATCTGGTGGGCCCCTGTGGGTAGTCGGTCTCAGACCCCGCTCCCAGGCAGAAAGGAAGAGCCGGTGCCAGGAGCTAGAAAGCTGGGTGGTGGGTGAGTTCCTGGGGTCCTACCTCCCCCACCAGCCCCGTCAGCCTTCCCCAGGGGGCCGCTGGGTGAGGTGGTAGGTCTGCCTCGCTCCCAGGGAACCAGAACTGGGGCCGCTCCCGTGAACCTTGGGAGTCCTCCTGCCTCTCCTGCCTGGCTCCCATCCCTCCCATGGGTCACCCCCTGCCCTGGACCAGGGCTGGTTCCGAGGTCAAGACTGGGCAACCCAGGGTGGGCGGGAGTCTAGGACAGACAGAGCCAGCAGGACCAGCAAACCAGCCCACAGGGTAGAGGTGAGCGCAGGAGGGGTGGCTGGTGGGACAGAAAGTCGACACACATATTCATCCGTTTATTCACTAGCTCGAGGAGGTGCAAAGGAGACCTCTCTGGGAGGCCGTGTGAGGGAGGGGGGCCATGGCCTGAAGTCGATGCCCATGCTGGGTAGGGTCAGGAAGTGGACGGAAAGGGCACCATCCATCCGTCTGTCCGTCCGTTCATCCATCTGTCCACCCGGTGCTTCCTGTGTGCCAGGCCCCAGACTGGGCAGTTACTGGCCCCACTGGGCAGCCTGGTGGGCGCTATTGTCCCCATTTTATCAGCAAGACAACAGAGCCTCAGAGGTGTGAAGGACAAGCTCCAGATCAGCCCGAGGGATAGGATCCAACAAAATTTATGGGAGGGGGAGAGATGAAAGAGAGCTCTCACTTTCTTTTCACCTTTCTTAGAGGTTTAGAATCATGAAAAAAATACACGTTCATCACCACAAATCAGCTGTTACAAAGGGAGGTGAGAAGCAGCTGTCCAGCCTCCCCTCCGCACGTCCGTCTGCACCGGGGCCGCAGCTGTGTTCCAGGCAGATGGACAGCACAGGAGTCCGTGGAGGTGCCGCCACACAGTCAAGCAGCCGCTCCTGAGACAGGCAGGCTGCTTCCAGATCTGAAACGCCGCGAAGAGCCGCGGGGAAGAGCCTGGGCCTCTCCGCCTGCTGACCCACGATCCTGACACAGGTGGGGAAGGGGTCTGGGCCAGGCGAGCTCGGAGTGCCTGGCACCCCTCTGCCCTCCTCTGTGCTATTCCACCCCTGGCCCAGCACCCAGACACAGGGCTGGATGGCCTGACTCTGTCTTTCATGGCTTCTCAAACCTCCTGGTGCTGATTTTCTCTTTTCCTGACCCTAAGCTGTTACAATGATTTCACATGCTAAAATCCTCTTAAATTTATAAACCCACCTTCTCAGCTTCCCCTTCCTCTCCCAGCTGATGGGAGAAACGACTGCAGGGTGGGGCAGGGGTGCAGTGGGGGCGGGGGACAAGAAGTCCCACCTGGCTTGGGCAACTACTTCACCTGTGCCTCAGTTTCCTCATCTGTGAAAGGGGCATGATAACGGCTCCTACCTTGCAGGGTTGTCTTGCAGTGCTTAGAGCCACAACTGCAGGGAAACGGGCAGATGTTAGTCACTAACCTCATGGACAGTCAGTTGGGACAAGCTGACTTGTTTGATTTCCAAGTGCACTACTGGTGCGGTCCCCTGATTTTGCAGTGCCACGCGTTTCCCACTAGGGGGCCCGGCCAGGGCGTGAGCATAACACGTTAGGTGTGTCTGTGCTGAGTTTCGACCACAGCTGGGCCAGGCAGAACCCAGTCTGTGGAGGTGGGATGGGCAGCATGGTCCCCGGTGCTGGGGGCAGTGCCATGGGTATTGGGATGGGACCAGGTCAGGGTGGAGGAGGGTTGGACAGATGGAGGCAAGAGGCAGGTGTGAGAAGCTCCCCCAACACCAAGCACGCCCAGCTGCTGGATCCCTGCTCTCAGTGACCCCAGAGCCCACAGGGGGCCAAGCAGGGCTCTACTCCATCCCCGCCAGGACAGGACGGAGGGAGGGAGGGAGGGAGGACCCGATCTAGCCGAGGAGCCACCGGACCCAGGACAGAGTGCTTGCACAAGCAGGGCAGTGACGGTGCTTTCCAGGCCTCTCCTGCTGAGTCAGGAGGGCAGTCTGCCCAGGGCTGCCCTCCCTCCCAGAAAGCATCTGGAGCTGCCGTGGCCCCGCAGCCAACTCTGCGGGGAGTGTAGTCACTTCCCTGAGATGGACCACTCCTGGGAGTCTTTGGGTGGAGGAGCTGGGGGTGGGGTCTGGCTTCCCCCCAGCCTCCCCCAAGGAGGGGCTCACACCACACTGGGCATCAGGGGGAGGGGCCACCTGGACGGCTGTCTGGGGTTCGATCCTTCTGCTTATTGGCCCTCCGGGAAGCCTGACCCAGGCCTGCCTAAGGACCGGATACCCTGAGGTCTGGCGGTCCCAGAGGGAAGCTCTCAAGAGGGAATTTCCAGCACAGGTCCCCCTGACAGGGGCCACGCTTAGGGGCCAAGGGCTTCTGAGTTCCAGGGACAACCCCCCACGTGGGCACCTGCCACCATCCTGCACACTTGGGCCGTGCCAACCTGAAGGGGCTCCTTGGCCCCTCCCCGGACACTGGAGCTGGGGGCACTGGTCAGCTGAGGAGGCCTCAGGTGCCATGTGACCCCGGGCACAACGCTGCACATCGACTGGCCTCACTGAAAGGAGGGCCCGGCTCCCCAGGCCACCCAGATCCAGAACAGCAGACGCTGGGCAGACCGGGCTTCCCCGAGCTGGCCGATGGCGGGGCTCACCTAGGGTGGTGCCTTTTTTTCCTTTGCTTTTTTGCGGTACGCGGGCCTCTCACAGCTGTGGCCTCTCCCGTTGCAGAGCACAGGTTCCGGACGCGCAGGCTCAGCGGCCATGGCTCACGGGCCCAGCCGCTCCGCGTCATGTGGGATCTTCCCGGACCGGGACACGAACCCGCGTCCCCTGCACCGGCAGGCGGACTCTCAACCACTGCGCCACCAGGGAAGCCCAGGGTGGGTGCCTTTTAAATGATGCCCTTTCTTGGGTCTCTGGGGGGTCCCAAGGCCCAGCTTGACTGGGGGCACCTGAGAGCCACTCCCTGAGCTGAGGCTGGAGCGCTCCAGCCGGAGCAGAGCTCCCGCCCTCCCCGTGGGCAGAGTCAGAGGTCGAGGGGCCCGCGAAACCCTTTGGGGCCAAGGCCGGCGCACCCAGCACTCGTTCAGTCGGGATCCTGCTGCCGCCCGGATAGCAGTCAAGCCGCTGCGAGGGGCGAGGGGATCCCGGCTGCGCGGGGAGGGAGCGCGGCCCTTTGCATCCTTCTTTCCCAAACCGTCCTCCTCTCCTCCCCCGGACCTCCCCTCTCCCTCTCCCCTCCCCTCTTTTCCTGACCACAGTCCCCTCCCTTCCCCGACCCCTCCTCCCCTCCTTCCCCGGACCCTGCCTTCCCTTCCCCTCCCCTCCGGCGGACCGAGCCCACCCCTGCCCGGCGCGGCCCCAAGCGTCCACCAGAGGGCGCCCCGCTCCGGTTCAAGGATGCACCGCCCCCGCCCCCGCCCTGGCGAATCCTCGGCGCCCCGGCGAATCCTCGGCGCCCCAAACACCCGCCCCCCGTAAAGAGGCGCACTCCGCCAGGGCCTGCTTAGGGCTGAAGGCCAGGCTTCGGGTGGCTACCTCTCTGCTCCCTTCCCTCCTGGCCCAAAATAGTACTGGGATCAGCTCTCAAGCTCGACCAAATATAGCCTGGCCTCTCCAGGCTCAGGCCTTGCGCAGGGGCCCAGCGCCGGGTCTGGAGGGGCCTCACGGGCCTCCTTAGGCTGACCCACTTCCTCCCCTGCCAAGGGCTGCCTAGACACGAGGGGACGGCCGACGGGGGACGGGGGGCACAGGGCTTCCCCGATCGGCCTGCCATGCCACACCTGCCCTGGGCAGCCCTCCTAGGACCCTGGAGAGCCTTCTTTCTAGGACTGTTCCCCACCCCCTGGGTCCCTAATCTCCCCTCCCCCTCCAGCACACTTACAGGGCAGACGCAGAGGTCCCCTTCACGTCAGTGTTCACCGGCCAACTGAAGATCCCCCATAAACAGCACACCGTGCCCACACCCCCATCCTTAGAGGAGGGGGCTGAGCTGCCCCGTCAAAGCCAGATGCCTTGGGAGGTGTGGTCCCACATCGGCCTTCTGAAAACAACAGGTCATGACCTGGAAGCAGACCCCCGGGTAGCTGGGGGAGGTCAAGAGTCCTCTTGCAGACACTCCTGGATGGGGCTGGGGGCGGGGGGGGGGGGTCTGGGGAGGGCGGGGGGGGGGTGCGCGGGGGGAGAGGGTGGGACCGTGCTGCTCAGCACTTTGCCCTTGAGTGAGTCTGTGGAGGGCGGGACGGGGCTTTAGAGCAGACCCCAGAGGGTGGCCAGGAGTACAAGGGCCAGGGTTGCAGGGGCTGCGAGGCCAGCGCCGTTACAGAGGTCGTACTGGCAGCAGGAAGTGGTGGACGCGTGCTTGGAGTAGCCATCGTACACGGTCTCAAAGCAGCTGGGCACGCACGACTTGCTCACCTTCATCCTGGTCGGGGTGTAGTCTGCAGAGGGATGGGGAGGTGGGCCAGGACCCTGAGGGGGCCAACCCCAGCATGCAGGGCCATTCGGCCAGGTTCCCCTAAGCCAGGAGCTCCCAAAAAGGATCCTGGGGCAGGTGGGAGCCTCCCTCCTCAGCTGCCTCACACTCCCCCACCCGCCACCGTGCTCCCCAGGCAGGGCTGTGAGGGGCATCCCAGCAACTCACAAGTGCGCGTGGTCATGCAGTAGGTGACCATGGCCGGGCAGCGCATGGGGTTGAAGCAGTTCTCGCCATTGTAGGCGCACACGTGGCAGTCCAGAGCCTGGGCTGGGGGCCGGGGGCCGGGGCCGGAGGGAGACTGGGGTCAGAGAACAGCGAGAGGCCCCCTCCTCCAGCCCATCAGCCCCCTGGTCCCGTCAGCCTCCCCAGGTCAGAAGAGCTGGGAGGAGAGGCGGTCACTGGGATTTCCGCCCCCACCCCCTCCAGCCTGCCTGCCCCCAAAGGTGGGTCTGTCCATCCCTCTGTTCTCCATCCATCTTACCCACAGGCAGGCCCACCAAGGCCACCAGGAACAGGGCGAGCAGGGGCACCATGGCCGGAGGTGAGAGGGCAGAGTGGGAGCAGGGAAGAGGAAAGCAGCTGGTCTTCGATTCAACTCAGGCCAGGGCTGGGGCAGGGCACAGAGGGGGTGGGACAACCCCCTGCCCTCTGGGAGCTCCTGGTCGACTGGAGGCGTTATAGCCCTGCACAGAGGGGGATGAGGACAGGTGGTCACAGCAGGGCCTGAGGGACCCACAGGTTTGGGCAGAGGAGTCCCCCAACTCAGCCTGGGAGTCAGGGAAGACTTCCTGGAGGAGACGACACGAATGAGATGAGAAGGAAGCAGGGGTGGGGGGCCAAGGGGAGGCCAGAAGGCTGGAGGGGCTTTGAATGCCAGGCCAAACCCACAGTCTACCAGGGATGGTTGATGCAGGGGCCCAGGAGCTTGGTATCCAGCCCTCTCCCACCCAGGGCCCTGGGGCCCCAGGGGTGGGTCTATCCTCACTGCTACCCCTACCCTTTGCCCCTGGCGTGTCCCCGCGTGGGCCCCCCCACTTCCTGACACTTTCAGGGCCCAGCTAGGGGCCCCTCTCCCGGAAGACCTCCAGAGCCCTGCCTGGGGTTTTGAGTCAGTACTGCAGAGCTCAGGCCTTGCACAGGGGCCCAGCGCCGGGTCTGGAGGGGCCTCAGGGGCCTCTTTAGGCAGAGCCACTTCCTCCCCTGCCAAGGGCTGCCTAGACACGAGGGGACAGCCGACGGGGTGGGGGTGGGCACAGGGCTTCCCCGATAGGCAGCGGACTCTGTCCAGCCTGTGGGGGAATGTGCTTTGAATGCACTCCAGGAGGGCACTTGGGCAAGACAAGAACTTCCCAGTCTGGATCTGCTGTCTGGAGCGGAGATGCCCACTCTCTCGGAAAGGGTCTGGGGGGGTGTCTGGAGCACGACTCCCCTCCCCGCGCGGATAGTCGAGCCCCGGGTCCCCGCCTCGGGGAACTACATTAGACCCTCCCGTTCCCGAGAACAACAAATCCATCTTCCATGACCCATTTTCCGGGCGTGCACCTCGGGATGTCGAAGGTCTGAGCAAGCCCGGGCCTGCGCCTCCAGCTCCTCTCGCCCCCTCCCGGGGAGCCCCGCCCCCAAGACTGCGGTCCCAAGTTCGGGCGGCTGTCGGGGGGACCTCAACCATGACCTTCACCACCATGAGCCCCCGTTGCGCCTAGGACTCACCCCTCGCCGGCCCTGCGAGCCCGGGTCTGACAGTGCGTCCGTCCTTGAGCCCCGCAGTGCCCACGCCGCGCCGCCGCCCCGCGGCAGAGCCGCCCATCGCGCGTGACCTCACCGCAGGCCCCGCCCCGCCCCGCCCCGCCCGCGAGTTCGTCCTTCCCGCGGGGACCGGGACCCCCCGCCCCCCGCGGAGGGCCAACCGCGCCCAGACCTAGGCCCCCGCAGTGACACCCGCGCTACCCTCAGACGCACGTGCACCTCGCGATGGGGCACGGGGACGGAATCTTCTGCCCCTCCCTCCCTCTCCCTGCTTCCGCCCGCCGCCCTTCGCCCACTCACCCCCGTGCTGCTAGTCAGCCCCGCACCCCAGCAGCAGCCCGCGCCCCTTCTTCCTTTAGCCCAGTTGTACAGGGATGTTAGCGGAGCTGCAGCGAGTGCCGGGGGTGGGGGGGGAGGCGCTGATTTCTGGATCCGGCTTCTGGGTCCCCACGTGGCCCCGCTTTACCTGCTGTGTGACCTGGGCAAGTTACCTAGCATCTCTGGGCCTCGGTCCCCACACCAGGTCCCTCCTAACAAAGCGTAAAAGCAAGCCTTGAAAGAAGCCCATTGTTTCATGGACCCCCTTCCACGGTAATAATAATGTTTAAGGCAAAATTTAAGATTTTCATGGGCCCTAAATTTTTTTTTTTTCTAATGTGAGGAAAAAAAATGCAACATTTTCTTTGACCCTCAATTTTATTTTTCTTTAAAAGAGTTGAACCACTTTGGGGACCCTAGGCCCTGAGCCTCCAGAGCGAAGTGGGCACTCTCCCTGGACAGACTGGGATGGTTGGTCACCCTATTTGCCAAATAGTCCCTGAGATGCCTCAGGGTGCCAGGAGTTGGAGATAAAATGGGCAAACATTCCCAAATATTCTCACGGTCATGAAGCTCACACTCTAATGGGGCATATGCTGTGGGCTTCAGCATCAGATCATGTTGAGTTAACAGCAACTGGATTTTCCACCTGCCTTTAAACAACTGAAAAATGGGGCAAAATAAATGAAGCCACGGTTCTTGGAGGTCGCACAGCAGGCAGCAGGGGCCGTGACCCTGGAGGTGGGGGAGACAAAGGAGCTGCAAGCCATAGAGCAGGGAGGGGAAACCCAGACAGAGCCCAGGACTCTGACTGAGGAGAGGAGAGTTCAGGGAAGCCAAAGCAGCTGGATCTCACAGGGCAGAGAGGAGAGAGCTGTCCCCTCTCCAACCCACAGGGCTGGGGAGGTCAGCAGAGGGTGCCTGTGTCTTCAGCTGAGGGCCCATCAGTGCACACATTTGAGGAACCAACCCCAAGATGTGGAAGGAGCAGGCACAAGGGTTCCCAGAGCTCACACAGGGCTGGAGGAGAAACCTTGTGTCAACTAAAAAAAGTACAAACCCGCACAACCTAAAAGTCTTGAGTTAATATTTTATTTGGGGACCCTACTGAGGACTATAGCCCAGGAGACAGCCTCTCAGCTCTGAGGAACTGGTCCAAAGAGGTAAGGGAGGAGCTGGGACATATAGGAGTTCTTGCTGGGAAAAAACAAACAAGTGTACTCAAACATCAAAAGATCACTGCTAGTCACAAAAAGCAGACATCGCAAGTTAATGATTTTAGTGCTTTTCTCTGTTCGGGAAGATGCAAGAGTCTGGGCTCATTGAAATTATTCCTTTGATGTGCATCTTAGCTATTTAGGGCAAGTATCCTGTTTTCCTCTATCCTGAATTCCCCTCAGGGAAACTATAAACTCATGGAACCCAGAAATTCAATGAACCTCAGGCACAAGAAATTGAAGAAAACTATACCAAAGCACATCGTGATCAATTGCTTAAAACCAGTGATAGGGGCTTCCCCGGTGGCACAGTGGTTAAGAATCTACCTGCCAGTGCAGGGGACACAGGTTCGAGCCCTGGTCCGGGAAGATTCCACATGCCATGGAGCAACGGGGCCTGTGCTCCACAGCCGCTGAGCCTGCACTCTAGAGCCCGCGAGCCACAACTACTGAGCCCACGCTCCTAGAGCTCGTGCTCCACAGTTAGAGAAGCTACTGCAATGAGAAACCCATGCACCGCAACGAAGAGTAGCCCCCGCTCGCTGTAACCAGAGAAAGCCTGCACACAGCGACAAAGACCCAACGCAGCCAAAAATAAATCAAATAAATAAATTTTTAAAAAAAACAGTGATAAAGAGAAACCACTAAAAGCAGACATTGTGTAATGCACAAGAAGAGAAGGACGCCAGCAGATTTCTTGTCAGAAACAGTACAAGCCAACACAGTGAAGCAATATTTGAAATACCAAAACACAAAAACAAAACAAACAACTTGGAATTATATGCCCCCCAAAAACATCTCTGAAAAGTGAAGGGGAAATAAAGATATTTTCAGACATGCAAAGGCAAAAAGAATTCTTTTCTAGAATTAAAAAAAAAAATGTAAAGAAAGAGCAAAAAAAAAAAGTCAAAGAGCTCTACTTAATAAGGTAACAAAGGAGATAAAATGGAATCACAGGGAGTAATCTGGTCATTGACAAGAATGCAGAAAAAGAGGGGAAAGGAAAAAGAACAAGTGGGACAGAGAGAAGACAGAAGGCAGGGTGAGAGAGTTAAACCCATGACGCCTCTAATCACACTGAAAGGTCCAAACACCCCAACTAGGAAGCAGAGGTGGTCAGGTTAAATAAAACGAGAAAGAGCCATGTCTCTGCTGCCCTCAAGAAGTCCACTGTACATGTAAGATCACATGTAGGTTAAAAGGCAAAGCACGGAGGAAGAGACACCAGGCTCACAGTAATTAAAAGAAAGCAGGAGTGACCACACTCATATCAGACAAAGTGGATTTCAGAGCAAAAGATATAGCCAGGAATAAAGAAGGATGTTACATAATGATAAAAGGGTCGGTTCATTAAGGGGACATAGCAATCCTAAATGTTTATGCACCTAACGACTGAGTTTCAAAACACACAAAGCCAAAAAACCTGATAGAACAAAAAGAAGAAAAAGAAAATTCATGATTCCAGCCAGAAATTTCAACACTCCTTTCGTAGAGAATTTTTTTTTTGGCTGCATTGGGTCTTCGTTGCTGCACGTGGGCTTTCTCTAGTTGTGGTGAGTGGGGGGGCTACTCTTCGTTGCAATGCACGAGCTTCTCGTTGCAGTGGCTTCTCTTGTTGCGGAGCATGGGCTCTAGGCATGCAGGCTCAGTAGTTGCGGCGCATGGGCTTAGTTGCTCCGCAGCATGTGGTATCTTCCCAGACCAGGGCTCGAACCCGTGTCCCCTGCATTGGCAGGTGGATTTTTAACCACTGCGCCACCAGGGAAGCCCAACACTCCTTTCTTAAGAGCTCATAGAAGTCAATGGAAAATGAATAACGATAAAGGAGACTTGAACAACACTACCAGCACATGTGACCTGCTTGATAAGTACAGAAGGAGAGCCCGTTCTTTTCAAGGACACACAGAATATTAATCAAGATAGACCTATTGTGGGCCATAAAGTAAATCTCAACAAATTTACCGGGATTGAAATCCTACAAGTTATTTTCTTGGGCTACAATGGAATTAAATCAAGAACAGAAAAATAAGATCACCAAATATTTAGAAACTGGGCAACACATTTCTAAATAACTGGTGGGCTAAAGGAAAAATTTTAAAGGAAATTAGAAAGTATTTCTAACTGAATGAAAATGAAAACACAAGGTATCAAAGTTAGTGGATGAAAAAAAAAAAAAAAAAGTTAGTGGATGCAGCTAAAGCAGTGTTTAGAAGGAAAATTTTGGCACTAACACTTGTATGAGAAAAAATAAAGTTCTTGACATAATGGCCTATGATCCCACCTTCAGAAACTAGAACAAGAGTAAATCAAACCCCACGTAAGCAAAATAAAGGGAATGATAAAAATAAGAGCAAAAAAACCAAGGAAATAGAAGAAGAAAATCAACAGAGAAATTCAATCAACTGGCAGTCATCTTGGAATTGGCCGTCAGTGCTCTGGTCAGCGTCATCTTGATTGTTTTAAGTTAAATCTTCGTTTCCAGGGTTGGTTTGTTCCCATTTCTTTGAGGCCAGTTCTCAGAATTGTGGCCGCTTATGTCATGGCTACAGCCTGGTCATCATGTAGTTAACTTCTTCCACCTGGTGGGGATTTCGAACCTGGGGCCCAGGTGGCCTCGGTGTCCCTTCAGGGATGGCTGCTCTGCGGAGCCTTCTCTGACCCCGTGTGGCGGCCTCCTCCTCCTTCTGCCCCGGAAGTTTGCTGACTGCACCCCTGGCTTCCAGGTGGGGGTGAGGGGTCTTCTCCGGAGTTTGGCACCAGGAGGCACTTTCCTCCCTGGCTCCAGCTGGCCCAGCTCAGAGCACCCTCCCCTCTCCGGAGGCGGATGTCCCTGACCCCCCACCTCTTGATTCAAATCCCAGCCACACGGCCGGCCTGCTGTGGGATATCCCGAGGACTCGGGATGGTCCGTGCCCTGTGCGTCCCCGCCCGTCTGTCCGACCGCAGTGGCCCGCGTGTCTGATCCGGCCTTTCCACTCCCTGCCCCGGGTGCCGGGTGCCGAGGGCACAGAGTGGGCTCTGAGGGAGGGGAGAGGCATGCCCCCTTGGCAACTCCTCCCAAGGCCCGGCTCTCCGGTGGCCACCGGGGGGGCGCGCTGGTCCTCGGGATATTCCCGTCGCAGCAGGAGCTACGGTCGGATCGCAGCCCACGGGAGCGCGGAGCGGGAGAGACCTGCCGCGGGCAGAGGGTGTTGCTCAAGGTCACCTGGTAGGACAAGGTGGGACCCGGGCGAGCTTGGGCAGGCGGGGCTTGGCCGTGAGGGATGGGGGACGGGCTGGCAGGGTGGGCGGGGCGGCGCTGCAGGGAGAGGTTCCACCGCGTGGCCTCAGGCAGGCTGGTGGCTGCCTGGTGAAGAGCTATGGCCTCGCATCACTGCTCCACTGACAGACTTCTGCCGGCGCGCCTACTCAGGCCTCCCCCAGGAGGGCCCTCCTTGTCTGGGGCTGCAGAGGAGGTGTCTGGGGAGGGTCGTGTCCCCTCCGGGGGTGAAGGGTGATGGTGCCCCTCCAGGCATCATGCACGC